CTTTCCTCCCAGTGGTTCAGCACAGTCATCAGGCCCCTGTGATTTCCTTTGTAAACATGAGAAGCCAGTCATGCTGTTGTACAGGGATAAAACTTTTAGAGAGGATTAGAAGGCATATATTGTTTTAACTGAGCTCTGCCCTTAAAATGTGACCCAGGGGATTAACATTCCAACTGTTCCCAGGATGGGTCTGATTGGAGGAGTGGATCTTAGTCAGGACTTTCTTTTTAAACGTTTTATTTTTTATTGTTGAAGAGTAGGAATCAGTGAAGGAGAAAGTACTTGTCTTTTGCATAACTGATGAATAATGTGCATGAGCTCAAGCATTCGTGGCAACTGAGTTTAATGAATTCTTCTCGGGCTACCAGCCGAGTAAGGTGGTTTAATTGAGAAAACATCAGTGTTTCAAGAACCATCTTCATCCTTGTCCTCAGGGTGCTGAAGTTCAGTACTCAACTCAGGAATTTAATGTGTGTGAATTACTGTGTATGTGCCTTACAGAATTTTAAGGTATGTGAATTGCATATACAGTAAATCCATGTCCAGTGCTGAGGACATATTTCTCAAAAGCGGTGTTGTTCCGATGAATCTGTGTTTGATAAACTTGATACTGTATGGATTAATGGGATGTAGGAATCTGGCCATGGAAAGTGGAAGAAACAAACTGCATGATGTAATAATAAAGTATTGTTAGGATGTGAAGCAAAATATGAACAGAAACTTGGATTTTAAAATATTGGTGGAATGTTAGGCGAACTGCTGTTGCACTCATATCACTGTGAAACTTGTCAGGAATCTCTGTTTTCTCATCTAGTGTCATAACCTTGCAACTTTTCTTTTCTTTGTTATCATTATTACATTTACATTTTTATTCAATTTAATGGTGTCTAAGGGCAGTATCATATACAGTATAATGGGAAAAGAATATGACACATGTTAACATGGTCACAGCATAAGTGAGACCGAGACTGTGGGCTCCATGGTTTGTGAAATAAAGGCGGTTAAAGCCGCTGAAGGAGGAAATCGTGGGAGGTAGACGTTGAGGGATGACATTTGAGTTGAAAATTTTATTTATACCCTGACAGAGGTTAAAAATTGTTTATACAAATACATTTGTAAAAGCTAAATTTTCTGTAGTTACTTAGGAAGTAGCATTTTCATGTGCTACTACAGCATTAGGCATGCCATGTATAATCAAATTTTCCGTGTTCTAAAAAAACTAATTTGCATTTATTTTCATGCATGAAATCAAATCCACATTGGACAAACCCTCATTGTAGGAGAGTTTACTGTTGTAAAATAGTGAACAATATAATGATGCTGTTATTTTTTGTGGAGTTTTTTGAGGGGGCAGAGAAAAAGTTTTCAAACTAAAAAACCTATAATTTTCACGATTATGGGGTAAATGTGTGTGTGTGAGGGGGATGCATGTGTGCACGTGCACATATATATCAAATCTTTGTCAGGCTAGGAAGAATGTAGAGTGAGTGTGTTCAGTAATACAGTGCTGCTGGAAGAGGTAACTGAATCCACAAATGGTAAATTAACTGGGGACTGGATACAATTTTGTGGTGGCTTTCATAATTCTTATTCACTTCTGAATATTGGTAGGATGAGATGGGTAGAACTTCTAGCATGTCTGGTGAAATGAGAATTGTATATGATTTTTGAACATGAAATGTCTTGACCAGATGATGGAAGATTCTGTACATTGGAGTTTTGATCCACACAGAATATAATATGTTTTAATTTGTTGATAATTGCAGAAAGGTCCAGGTTTGAAGACTTCAACAGCAGCTGTGCGCACTGCGTACATTGAATGTATGTCTGCTTGCTTGCATGGGAACACACTGGCCCAAGGGATTGAACTTATACCACTTTTGCTGAAGACAGTGGAGAAGGCAGTTGCTCAGCCAGCACAGGTTTGTGCAAAATAATTCAGTATAACTTATGGCTGAAATTGTATTAGTTTTTGTGTGTTATTTGAATATGTCCATGAAATCAAGGCATGGCCATGTCTGTCTGTCTGTCTGTATGATTCAACCCTGGAACTGCTGGAAGGAGTTGGATGGAATTTGACATGGACATTTCAGTTTTCTGCAGTTGGTGATAGCATGGCAGATGAATGATGGATCTTAGGGAGGTGGGCTGTGAGGATGGTAAATGGACGGAGTTGGCTCAGGATTGTGTCCGGTGGCGGGCTGTGGTGTTGGACCTGCAGGTTCTTGCTACCAGGGAATTAGTTGGTTAGTTAGGATAGAGTGAGGTAGGAAGGGCTAGGCTGTGTTTGGATAAGCTAGATCTTGCTAGGATGGGTTGGGCTTGGCCAGACTTGATACGGCCAGGCATTTATATGTGATGCTAGATGAGGCTCATTTAGGCTAAGATGGGCTGCATTGGGCTATATTAGGCTAGGGTAAATCAGGATGTGAGTGTGTGGATTGGTCTCTGGTCACCCATAGTAGTGTCCAGTAGCAGGCTTTTGTGTACAAAGTAATGGACCATGAAATTCAATAAGGGACAGGGAATGTCGTGACTATCTGACTTCCTACTGTCTTCTCAAGATGGAAGCTGCTTCGAGTAGGTCGTTATATATTCATGATTTGTGTTCTTACCTTGACAGGTTCCTCTTGTGACTGAGGCCTTGTATGCTGCTTGTTTGTTGCTCAAGATGGCAGCAGCTGATATTGGTGCAGACAAAAAATTGGACAACCTTTGGAGTGTTGTACTAGACATGAACAAACAGCTTTTTGTTTCTGAAAAATTTCTTACTCTTGCTTCCGATGAAGGTGCGTACAGGTTATTAGATCAGGTAGGCCTGCTCTGTTGAATTATGCTTTGCATTACTCTGTATTGTGTAACTTATTTTCTTTACTGCAGTATGGTATTTTCAGCACACACAATAGTACTTGTTCATGCTCTCTTATTTTATGTGGCATGCTCCAAAGAGATGTATACACACACACACACAGTGAATGAAGTAGACATTCATCAGAACTGGCACTTTGTGAATTAGTGAATACAGTGCAGGTGTTCAAAATGACTGCCATTAGCTTTATGGCATTGTGAGCAATTGACATGCAGCCATTCTACATGAAAAGTCTCTGCTAGGAAGGCAGTGCAAGACTGTTCAGTTTCTTGCTGGAGCCCTTGTCAACAGATCTGCTTCCTGTCCATCGGTCAGGAAAAGTTGTCAAGGTAGGCCCTGATGCCATGATGGTAATGTGGGGGTGCCCTGTCTTGTTGATACCACATATTGTCATCTCCATACAGCTGATGAAGAGTGGGAACAATGTTTTCTTGAAGCATGTTGAAGTACACAGCAGCAGTGTCTGTCCTATTATACCTTTAGATGACACCACACCAGATTGAAAGTCCTGGCAAATTCACTGCCTTGTCAACATGAACATTTAGATTTTCAGAAGACCATTGTACATAATTATGTTGGTTAACTGTCAATGCATCTTATATGTTGCCTCATCAGTCCAAACCTCACCACCTTTCTTTGAATTCATTCACAGAACACAAGTCTGCAGTTAAGATCATCTTCAGTCATTGCATGCAATAATGTTGCCATATAGAATTTCCACATAGCTATAGCTAGATTAATTTTGAGATATGTTAGTCAGTGAATCTAAATTGTTTATATGCACATTTTATTTATTCATTGAATTTGGATGTCTCCTAATTTTTAAATAAAATTAAAAGTGGAAAACTTGTTTTATTTGGCAACAGTTTATAGGGTTAACACGGACTGTTCATTGAAATCTTAGTAGGTTAGAGGTGAAACATATGACTGGACAAACAGGCCATCCATCCCAGTATGTGTTTATTTTATGCATTCTTTGTCAATAAGACTTCATCATTACAATTCTGTATTTAAAATGCTGGGAATTAGTTTTGAGGTATACCTCACCATTGCATAAATTGCAAAGAATTTATTAAGCAACTGGAACTGCTGTAGTTTTGTGTGGAAAACATCACAAGGGAGCTATGAAACTGCTGAAGCCGTATGCAATCTTATTTAAAGTTGCCCTTTCTGTTTCAGCCCTGTACCATGTGATGCAGCTGTGTGAGCGGCTGCTTCTGGATCATGCTCACAGGCTAAATGGCAAGGCTAATCCACTACACAAAGGAATTATTTTCTGTTTGACTGCACCAAGTTCTTCTCTCCGTTTACGTTGTCGCCCTGTGGTGAAAAAGTTGGTTTCTGTGTTGGGGGGAACCCAGCTTGCACGTTCTTTACTCAAAGAATTTACCAGATTTCTAGAAACAGCCAAAATCCAGTCTGGAGAATCTGTTAAGGAAAACAAAGACGGACCAGATACAGGCTCAGGTGGAGGAGGGGAAATAACTGCAAAGGTGGCTGTGAACTGCATTATCACATTTTGCTCAGGAAGCAACTTAGTGCCAGAAGATGCTCAGCTTCTTGCTCTGGACAGCCTCATCAGCTGCCATCACCCAGCTATTGGTATGTGAATGAAATTTAATAGGGTCGTTTTCCTGTTGCAGCTTAATTTTGTATGGTATTTGGAGTTCTAATCAGGGTGTTTAAAGTGAAGTAAAAAAAAAAAAATTTCCTTAAATACTTAACCCTTGAATAAGCTTCATACCCCATTTTTTTTAAGAAATTAAGAGTAAAACAAGTTGTGGACTTATTGACATTTTTAAGTGTTCATACATTATGTCCTGAAATTTTGTTGTGACCTTTGCTTATTTCATTGTCCCATAAGTAGTGTTCTCCATGGTGTTGAGCTCATTAGAAGTGTTGCTGCTTAGTTTCTGAGCTCTCTGATAGACATTCATTGCTTGTACTGTTGTTTCTGTGTGGCTTTAAATGGCTGATTTGTTCAACAGTTGCAACGTCAGTGTCAGTCCTCCAGATAGAATAATTTGATATGTGTTGCTGCTTTGATGTCTTTTTTCACTTCTTCTGTTCTAGCTTTTTAAAATAAGGATCCTGTAGAAACTTGAGCATGCTTCAGGATGTTTTTGCTGCACATATTTGTTCCAGTCCAGTTTGATCTACCCTGATTCTTATACGTGTACAATTATGCCTTTCGCAGTAACATTAGGAAGTGTCTTGTGTTTAGAATGCTGTGCGGTGGCAGGTTTCTGTCTCCACAGAAACACGCATCATTACGATGCACCATTGCCTCTTGTTGCTACTACAACGGTTTCTTCTCACTTCAGTGCTTACAGCTGTATTTAAGGGTATTTCATAATACAAGGGTGTTTAATCAGCATTATCAGGATTGGTATGTGATGTCAGAAATGAAATAACTGAACAGCAAGGGACTTCACAATTTACATTATTGAAGAACTGACAACTGTCAATATTTCATGTTTACATAATATACTGCTGAAGATATGTTTCCTTAATTCCTTAATTTGATTGAAAACTTGTGGTTTTGTATTTTATCCCGTGGCCTTTTAAACCTTCCAGCACTGCGGATTTAAAATATTTAAGTCCGTCTGAGCTCATGGTGTTAATAGTCATATTGGTACTCACAGGAACTGAGAGTTATTTTAATCAGTTGCAGCTTCCCCAAACTTATGGCTGAAATTGTTGAAATACTTGAAACTGGATCCGTATGAATTCATCAGACTCTCTGAAGAGAATATAAAGAAAATCTTTATTGAAGAGTATAGTGCATCTCCAGTAAGTACTTTATATATATTTTCATTAATTTTCAGAAAATTGTATCAGTTTGACTAAATTTGTTGAATGAAATTAACTGGAATGTGCTGTAGATTAGTGTAACCTCAGTTTATTTTGAATATTTGTGTTCCAGTGCATGGAGAACTCTTTGCAGACAGTAGTCCGCTTGAATCCAGATGTTGTTCTTCCACTTCTGGTTACATTTGTCATCAAGCAATTAAGTGATCCTTCTATTCTTCTTGTTACTAAAGATGAATACTTCACATTCCTAACACCAGAAGGTGAACTTTATGACAAGAGTGTATTATCAGGGTAAGATACTTTGAATGAGCATGTGCTGAACTCGTCAGTTGGAGCAAAATACCATGTTTTCTCACACTTCTGTTTTAGAGTTTAATGTATCAACTTTTTACTTAATACTTGTTTGTTTGTTCACTCCTCACTTTTGCGCACACTTCGTAAGTGTTCATTTTAAGGTTCAGTTTGTCTGTGTAGTTATTGCACTCATGTTTTTAAAAACCAAGAATTCCATTCATCTTGTTAGTCAGCTGATATAAGATATTTTCTAAAGTATTAGGCACGCTTTGAACGTTGTTAGTTATTGTGGCACTACTAGATGTGGTTTGGTATGGAGGTAAAGCAGAAAGTGTTTTTGTAATGGTACTTCCTGTGCCACAATAACTAACAAGGTTCAGAATGTTTAAAAACATGAGTGCCCTCTCACATACAACAAAATTGGTCATGTTTAAAAACACTACTTTGTATGGTTAAGGAGTCATACTGCTCAGATATTTTTCCATATTTTTACCGTATCACAAATATAAGAAACCGTAAGGTGCAAGCATTGTCCGAATTCAACTGCATACATAAAATTGTCATGGGCACTTGTGAACACTTCTGCCTGCACCTTGCTGCATATGGGTGGTGATCCCTGTTCTTGGCTATTAGCTGTATCATAAAATAAACTATAAATAAAAGAAAAAATATTTGGAAGAAACAGTTGTCAGAATTATGGCTAATGGATGTGGAAAATGTTCTGGGTTAGATTAGGTTAGGTTAGTTTTAATGTGAGATAATACTGTATTTTTAATATGCATGACTGTTTTGCGTCATATAGGAAGGATAGTGAAAATGAGCTGAATGTGAAGAATGTGAAACGGGAGAGTAAAGTGTATTCGTACAAGGAGCAACTGGAGGAGTTGCAGCTACGAAGAGAATTGGAGGAGAAACGGAGGAAACAAGGAAAACTGAAGGAACCTCAGCTGACACCAAAACAAAAGGAAACTCTGAGACTTCAGTTGCAGAGGGAAAGTGCAATACGTGCAAGATTGACTGAGGTAACTTGGCTTTCTTTCTGTTTTTGCGGTATAATTTTTTTATCATTGGGCTGTTAACATGTTCTGGCGCCCAGTGTCATCCTACAGGTATATGTCTAAGAATTTTTAAAGTTAAACTATGAAGTGTTCTGAAGCTTAATGTTTACATTTTTGTGCTTCTTTTGAACTAATCATTGCAGTTTGCTATCTAGAGTTCCAGATAAACTGTAGGCTATTAATGTTGAACCAATCTTCCCTCTACTGAAGTTTCAAAGTAATCAGCCTAACAGTGTAGTTTACATACCTTACCATACCTATGCACCTTTTCAATCAACTCTGGCGTTCGAATCGTTTTTGCTGGGCCAGGATGTTCATCTTCCAATGATTCTCTTCCATGGCGGAAATGGTTATGCCATTCAAAAACACGTATATGAGACAGACAATTATCTCCGTACACTTGCTTCATCATTCGAAACGTTTCCATGGCACTTTTGCCCAGCCGAACACAAAATTTGATATTCACTGCTTGTTCCATTCTTGCTTCACAACACACACACAAGAGAGACGTCTGCTTCACCTCACACTACGTTCTCAAATGGCAGCAATGTATGATGACCTTCAGTGTAGCACTCTAGGAACAATACCTCTTTGGGTTCATATTCACTTCTGTTAGATGGCAGCACCAGTTCATGCCTCATAACACCAGTCCCGTTTTCCAGTTGCCGCACTGTGTATGACAGTGAAAACTGGCCCACAGAAGGCAGATGAGTTCAATGCTGCAGGTGTTCTGCTAAAAACAAGGAAACACGGACAGAATGTAGGCATTCAAAATCCAATGTTAGAATGTGTGATGATCCCTGCTTCAGCATGTACCACACAATTGTATTTTTTAGATTTTCCAACACTATGCTGGGGAAAGCAATTTGCTAGAAATGTTTTGGGTTTGTCTGGTGTGATTTCCAAAACAGTACACATCTTATTTTTTCAGTTTTTTTTACTTATTTTTAGTTGTTATGAAACAAACAAATATCAGGGTATACCTGGTCAGATAATAGTGAGATCATGTTCGTGCTATGGGCGTGGTACGAAAAGTTGCCATAGTTGGATATTTGGGGCAGGAGGAACTTTACACTACACCCAAAAACATCAGTCTACATATTATTGCTAATCCTTACTTCTTTTGTGCCAACATCACAATTACTTAGCAATAAACAGAGCCAAAGCTGTCCCGCTATTTGCTATGTAAGCGCTTGTGGGGAGAGTTGGTGTACTGTGTACTCGTTCTTAACCTCGGTGCTTGATAGGGGTGAGTGGTCATTGTCATGCCTAGGCTGCACTTTACCCCCAGAAAGGACCCTGGTACCCATGATAGAAGGCTGGGTTGGCCCCAGAGCTGGTCTGGATGCAGAGGCTAGAGGAAATGACCTCCCCACCTATGTTGGGGATCGAATTTTTGTCATCCAGTTTGTAGTCAGTCATTATACTGACTGAGCTACCCCAGCTCCCGCAATAAACAGAGCACCACTTATAAAAAGAACACTTGATAGTTTTGTGCAGAAACACACAACGTGGGTGACGTGACATGAGTATATGTTTGTGAGACAGTAATAGTGTTTAGTAATGGCATAGAACACATTTGCATAGTCAGCATCCCATCCCATCTCATCCACATGCACCCCACACAACTCGTGGCACATCATAGTACAGTTGTTTTTTAGAGTAAGGAAAAGACGAGGCACAGAAAGTCTTATCTGATTAGTGGAATGGAATGCTGCTTTTGGTTAGATAAGGAGTGCTCAGCATGGTGCAGTTTCCTTTCTGCTCTTGTATCAGCAATTGTGGAACAAGTTTGAAACATTCCAAAATACTTATTTAAAATGATTTCGCATGAGATCTAAGAATTCTTATGCTTCCAGCTATTTCAAAAATAGTCATTAAACTGTCATTTCACATTAAGTTGCCCTCATGAAAGCTGTCCAGGAAGCTCAGATCTAAGAATTCTTATGCTTCCAGCTGTCCAGGAAGCTAATTAATTATGACAGACATCTGTCTTTCTGTAAAGTGCAGAAAGTACTCTTCTGTCTTAACCTGCAATTCATTAGTACACGAATTCTGAGATTGCGTTAAAGAAACTTCTTTGTGTGGTAAAGTATTAAAAGTTTGTTTTACAATTTTTCCAGCTGAATAAAAGGCTTGAGAATGTGGTGTCAATGATAAAGGCAGCAGCAAATGATAGTGGTGAAGAACTGTCACTATACTTTCAAGATCTTCTGCCACATATCTTGAAGGATCTGCAGTCTCCATTAGCCGCGCCGTATCTATCTGCATTGTATATAGATCTCAGGAAATGTGTTTCCTTCACCAGCAGGCATAAATATCTAGGTAAAGCCTGCCTGTGGGATTCATTTGGCTCACAATGTGGTTCACTGGGTAGATATTGGAGTTCAACTTTGTACTCTTGTTTACAGGTGATCTTATTGCACACGTGACTCTCCGACTTCAAGCCCCTTGTTGTGATCTTGATGCACGTTGGGAAGATGAAGATTTGAGTGTAGCTGTGACTCGCACCATTACAGCTCTGCATAAAGCAACTGTGAGGCCGCGACGGACGACAAGTGCTGACGCTCCGCGAACATACCTAACAGCCCCAGCTTTCTGTTACGTTTTCCCTTTGATACGTTTTGCTCTGCTGTCTGCATTTGCAAAGGCAGATGATTCATTGGTAATTTCTGGGCTCCAGATCATTTCTGAACATGTGCAGATGAGAGGAAGTGCAGATAATACACAAGAGAAGGATTGCTATCATCCTGATTTGCTCCCAAGAAAGCAAATGTTTGAACTCCTTATAGAAATGATAAGTGAGTTTGTATCAGTTAATAAATGTTGGTATTGCATGTATATATATGACAGCTCATTGTAAAAGAGTTAAAACAGCTACTACATTTGTTGTAGTCAAAATTCATTCTATTCAAAATTGTCTGATGACTTAGAAGTATTTTATGTTATTTAATTTGTTTTGATAAGAATCCATTCTATTTAAATTTGGCTAGTGACTTGTGAATATTTAAAATCACTCTTGGAAAATTGGCCAGTGACATGAATATTTAGAGAATTTTTAGGCACATTCCCAAATAAATGTTGAAAAATGGAGCTATTAGCTTTGCTTGTTTTGTAATTTGTGTCATTATGCATCAGAATCTATGCATGTTGCCTTAAGATCCAGAAAATGCAAGTTTCTGGTAGCAGCAACATTTGGCTGCTGTGTAATTATTTGAGGGGTGACATCGGCCTGGCTATAAGGAGGAGGGGGAGTGAGATACATGGAAATAGGCAGGAAATGCAGTATGTAGAATGAAGATAGGAAAGAATGAATTAATATACAGAAGTTGAAATAAAAGAAATAGGCTGTGCTTTCCATATTGGTATACAAGGGCATACCTTTTGTGGCCAGGAAAGCCTGCACGATAAGCTGTAGTTGAGTGTCTCAGGGTAACATTCAGGCAGAGCAGCTATAATGCCTGGCACATCTTACAGGCTGTCACTCTACTAAGCAAAGTAGTTCCAGCTCTGGAGATCCTTCCCCTGATTGCCTTTATTCCCCTTATCAGCACGGCCGTCAATCACATCGGTAGGGTGCTGTTCAGGCATGACATCAAGTCTCTGGCTTGCGATTTCAGACTCAAGGTGTGTACATCATACCCTGTGAATGTGGTCAATTCTACATGAGCAGACTGGCCATTCCATTGAGACCAGGATAAAGGAGTATCAGTAGCACATCTGTCTGGAGAATTCAGACAGATTGACCATGGCCAAACACAGCATAAGCTTGAGCTGTTGAATTCAATATCTGGCCACCAGCATACTCTGCACCAAATCCAGATACACAAACCATATGATAAGAAAAGCCATTCAAATTGAGTTACGCCCTAACAACATGGAACCAAGAACATAGGAAACTTCCGCCATGGATTCAGTGCTTGTTTCCTAGCACTCGTTATCTTCTTAGGCCACTGATCCAGCCCCAGCCAGTTCCTTCATTCTTCTCTCACTCCATCTCCACCCTTTAAATTGTTGTTATTTATTTCATATCTTCATCCAGTATTCCCATTTATTACTTCATCTTCCATTTGATTTGTATTTTTGTACACTTCCATGTGTTTCATTGTATGGCCTCGCAGATATCTGCCTCTTCTTCCATTGCCTTCCTCCTGCTGCCTACCCTCACTCTGGTCTGCCTTACCAACGTGCGCCTCTGTGGCTACTCATTCTCGTGATGGAGGCAGTAATCTCCTGAAACATCTGTCATTATCCTCCAGGCTACATAGTGCAGCATCCTTGAAGTCTTGCCATCAGCATTTGCATTTCAAAAGTCTAGTTACTGTAAGTGGTTGTTAATCTAGAGTGTGCGATGTTGGAATTTTTTTAATTCCCACGTAATTATTTAAAAAAATAAACACAAAAAGTGAATATGACAACAGTAGCCTCTGTTTGCTGCTTCAAGAGACTGAGTACAGACAAGGTGGTGAGTCATGCCTGAAAGTCAAACTCTATGATATTACCAGGCTACTCACTGCTCTGCTAGTACAAAGCAAACAGATGCTACCATTGAGAATGCATGACAAACTTTATTGAAAGTATTATGCACCCACCCATGTGCTGCACTCAAGCGCACACTACTAATATATGTTTACAGTTTCAGTCTCATATATTTTAGAATTAAGGTTGAGAATAGAAGTTTAATGATCTTGAAAACTTTACAAAATCATGTGATGTTCATTTTGGTAGCATTAAAATGACACTTCATTCACCTTTGTCTCTTTAACATTCTGCATAATATTTGCACTTGAAGATTACTCAGTCATAAACCACTTGTTCAAAATTTATGGAGACTAACATTTGACTCTACAGGGATGCCCATTACTTTCCACTGGATGAGAGTTTATGCATCAGTCGATATGACACGGAATGACTGGCATTTCAAATCATTACAAGTGAATGTGAAGAAAAAGAGTTTGGTTTGCTGATTGATTTGGATTGTGGGTCAGTTTGTGAAAGAACAAAATGTCATAATTTTTGCTTATGTGTATGGTTATAATCGTACCTCTAAGCCATGTGTGAGTAGAAGGATTTTGGTGGAAGCAGTCCTTTGTACCTTCTATTTAAATTGTTCTTTGCCTTCTTATAATATACAGGTTGTACTGGTGGTCGCATTCAGCAGCAAGCAGGCTCTGCTCTGCTTGACGTTGCAGCGTCAGGCTGTGGAGCTGCTGGTTGTGCGCGGGCTAGTGTGGATGAGATAGACAGTTTGCTTGCTGCATTGCAGAATCCATCAGCAGTGGTGCGTGATGCAGCTCTTAGGGTGAGTGCACGTAGGATTGTAAGACAACTTTAATGCAGCTTTACTTACGAATGTATGCTTTTCTTTTTCTAGAAACGCACTAATCCTCTGAAGTGAGGAGGTAGTGATAATTTTTAATTATTTTTAAAAAGTATGTTTAAGAAGTTGGGTTGAATTGAGAAGTTATACTTATTTCACCTTCCATTGTTAACTATTTTAATGACACATGTTTTATATCAGTTTTGGTGTTTGTGTGTTTTCCAGCAAAAATTATGCTGAGAATGGCACACAAATGATCATAACTTACAAAACCAGTTTCATCACAATCAGACTCTTATGTTCATCTCCTGTTTCTGTTTAATGTTGATCAGTGGTTGAACTGTTGCTGATCCCTTCTATTTTGCCGCACTCCTGTCTCTCATTTTTTGCCAGTTCTTTCTTCCTGATGTCTTCTAGTACATGGCTGACCTGCTTGGCCTGGGTCATCCTATGAGTCTCCTTTTAAATTTTAAGTCTAAGACTCTTCCCAGTATTCTTGTTCTGTCCTTTCTGTTTTCAAGGTTGAGCCGTTCTAACCATTTCTCTCATAACTCTACTAATACATTTTGATTTTTAGATTTTTTTATGAAGTTTTTATTCCTAATTTTATCCCTTGTTTATTTTTTCCTTCAGTACATCTAAACAATTTTTTCCCATGCCTTTCTTGCTTTTTTTAAATCATGTTAGAATTAGTTTAAAATATGTTGTATAAATTAATGTTATGCAATCGTGTTGGGATTTATCTGTTCCATATTATTCCACTTATAATTTGATAGAATTTAGGATTATTTTGTACTTTTATATTGATTTCCCCATTGGTTTGCCCCGAATTTTTTTCACGGTCAAAGATGGGGACCGTATGCTCCTCCAAAACATTGACATCTACCAGTTTGCATGGCACCAGAACCCAAAAGAACATCATAAATGAATTTGTCTATTTATTTAACCATTTGTGTCTAGATTCCTTTAAATTCAAATTGTCACTATCTTGTAAGATTTGAAGTTTTCACAGCGATGAGTATGAAGATTTCTGTCTTCTGGGTTGTTGCGCTGTGTAGACTGGTCGATGTTAACCAACGTTTCAGAGGTCATACTGCCTCCGTCACCAGGGCGATGAATATGCCAATTGGGTGTGTGGGACCTGCTCCCATTGGGTCGGGGCAGGCTACTCCATTCACAGTCTGGCTCCTATAAACCTAGCCCCACACACCCTATTGGCATATTCATCACCCTGATGATGGAGGCAGTATGACCTCTGAAACGTTGGTTAACATCGACCAGACTACACAGCGCAACAACCCAGAAGACAGAAATCTTCTGTCACTGTCTTATCAAGTTCACTCTCGGTCAAGACCACTTAATGAAATGATGGGAAGAGAGTCTTGTAACTGTGATAAACCAATTAAAATGCAATAAGCTTGCACATTTTAATTACTGTTACCAGATTTTTGGACATTACTCATCATCTGCTATTTCAAATGTAATGCAGTGTTTTGGCAACTGAATCGATTTCACATACAAAGAGCTCTTTCTGGGTAACTCAACTGAGAACTTATTCTGCAACTTTACACTGAAAGCAGAGCAGTTGTCCTGCATAGCCTGTGTTTATTGTCTTTGTTTGCTTGTCTTATGTTACAGGGTTTGATTGCTATGGTTGGTGCCTTTCCAACTTTGAAAGAAGATTATAACCAAGCGTTACGACTTATAAGGAGGATTTGGGTTGCACAGTTTGATGTTTGTGAAGAGAATAGGTGAGAAGTGCAGAAACTTGCTTTAATGTGATTTATGAATTTTAATGAATTCCAATTACTGAATGGAAAATTTTACAATTTTTTTAAGGGAGGAAATTTTGGCTTACTTTGACGCAAATTGAGTTTACATTTTAAATATGACCTACATATGACTGTTTGGTATACATTTGTATACATACATACATACATACATAAATCTTTATTACATTCCATGGATCCATAAGTTAGTCAGATGACAATAGGATGTAGAATAAGTCATAATAATACAATACATGTCACAAAAATACAAACAAAGGATTCACATGAAGTAGAGATAAGTTACAAATAAATCCACCCATTATATCCAATAGATAAATTACGACTTACTTGGTTGTGTCATGGGGCATTCCCATTGTCTTAGGTTGTACGTTTGCTGTTCCCCAGCATTTCATTTTATATTTAGTCAGATCATCAAATAAGGCAGGAGGTGATAAGAAGTTATCCATGTACGTCTTATGTCTCTGCCTGCCATTTTTGACAAGTAATTTGCTGTAGCATGTGTTGTCACGCAATTTGCAAATATTTCTTCCAAAACGTTTGTGTTTTGTCTGAAATTTATACTTTATTTATACTTCCTTTGTTCAGAGCCAAATATTCTGAGTAGGTATCATTCAAGAAGTGAAAACATTTCTCAATTTCCATAGTCATAGATTGGATTTGTTTTTGTCAGCAGCACTATCATTGTTTGAAAAGTGTAGGTGGAATACAGGGAAATGATATATTTAGTCAGAGTCCTTGCTGTGGTATTCGATTGCCACATTCTGTCTTTTACCAGGTATGTCATCAGTGAACTGTTGCTCACCATTGTTAGGACTCTGCCTGTTGTCTCCACTTGGACACCCCTTCAAATGCAAGTAGGGGTAGTGTCATCTTGTCACAATCCTTGTCATCGTCATTTTTTGTGCGGGTTACGGTCGTATTCACCGTTTGTCTAGCCTGTCAGGCTACCAGAATTGCTGGAGTTACGCTCTTGTACAACCAAACTGTTCTTGCCTCGACACATACAGCATGAAGTTTTTTAGGCTGTGGCTGTATGAATAACTTGTAATCTTTCCCTGTTGACACTTACTGTACACTTTACACATCCAATCTGATTCAGATTATCAAATGAACTTTGTCATATTGGAGGGAGTGGCATGAAATTGACGTCCTGAGGAATGCAGCAGAATAGTTAGGCTATGCATATATTTCTTAATTTGTTTGTAGTATATTGTAAATGGTGTATATTTCGCTTTTACCTGCAGAGACCTGGCTGTAAAACTGTGGGCTGTGGCAGAGCTGCAACTTCCAGCTGCTCTTTGTGATGAGTTG